TAAATCTATGAACATAAAATATTACCTGCAACATAGCAAGATTTCTTAGATTTCAAATCTTCAATTTCAAGAAGATTTCAACTCTTCTCTTTCCCAAAAAGTAAAGAAGATAGATATAGCCTTGTCTCTATAGTTTCATCGAGTTAGGTATGAATCTTAGTTTTACTTTTTATGACACTTTGGGGAATTCAGTTTCTTTTTGGTTATAAAAAAAGATAATAATACATATCTTACAGGGTAGTCGCTAATATTAAAGAGATGGTTTGTGTATCATGTTTAATAAACTTAAAAAATTATTTTTATTTATTTTTGGCTGCATTGGATCTTAATTGCAGCAGTGGGATTTTCACTGTGTCTACAGACTTCTTCCTGCCTGTGGTGTGTGAGCTCCAGAGCACATGTGCTCTGTGGTTTACAGCACATCAGCTCTCTAGTTGAGGTGCGCAGATTCAGTAGATGCAGAGTGTGAGCATAGTTGGCCTGAGGCATGTGGGATCTTCATTCCCTAGCCAGGGATTGAACCTGCATCTCCTGCATTGCCAGGTGAACTCTTAACAGATGGACCACCAGTGAAGTCCCATGTGTAATGTGCCTTACATTTAAAGACTGACTTAATGTTTGCTTATTTTCCCATCCCTATTCTCTCCACTCTTGAGAAAGTATCCAGTGGCCAACTGATTGAGTCTGCTTCTTTCATTGCAGTTTTCCAATAAAAGGAGGGGCAAATGTGCCTATTGGAATGACAATGGGGCCAGTAGTGCTAGGAACTACTGGGAGGACATGGATTTGTTCAAAACTAAATGCATATGCCCAGATAAGGAAGCAAAGCTCTCTAACTGATTTTCACACCCACAAGTAAGATACAGAGTAAATTACTAATTTCTTTCTAAAAATATTTACTTAGTTTTAATTGAAGGATAATTGCTTTACAGAATTGTGTTGGTTTCTGCCAAATATCAACATGAATCAACCATAGGTATACATATGTCCCCGCCCTCTTGAAATTCCCTCCCACCTCCCTCCCCATCCCGCCCCTCTAGGTTGTTACAGAGCTTTGGTTTGAAGTCCCTGAGTCATGCAGCAAATTCCCATTGGTTACTTATTTTACATACAGTAATGTACACATCCATATTACTCTCTCCATACATCCCACCCCCTCTTTCCTCTCCCAACCACCATGTCCATAGCCTGTTCTCTTTATATATGTCTCCATTGCTGCCAGACATATCATCTTTATGGATTTCATTAATACCATCTTTCTAGATTCCATATATATGTGTTAGTGTATGGTATTTGTTTTTCTAGATTTCATTAATCTTTCATTAATTAATTTTATCTTTCTAGATTCCATATATATGTGTTAGTGTATGGTATTTGTTTTTCTCTTTCTGACTTTACTTCACTCTGTATAATGGGCTCTAGGTTCATCCACCTCATTAGAACTAACTCAAATGCATTCCTCTTTATGGCTGAATAATATTCCATTATATATATACGCTTCTTTATCCATTTGTCTGTCAGGAAACTATAAACAAGGTGAAAAGACAAGCCTCAGAACAGGAGAAAATAATAGCAAATGAAAGAACTGACAAAGGGTCAATTTTCATTTCCAAAGTATACAAGTAGCTCATACAGGTCAATACCAGAAAAACAAACAACCCAATTAAAAAGTGGGAAAAAGACCTAAGCAGACATTTCTCCAAAGAAGACATACAGATGGCTAACAAACACATGAAAAGCTACTCAACATCACTCATTATTGGAGAAATGCAAATCAAAACTACAATGAGATATCACCTTCCACTGGTCAGAATGGCCGTCATCAGAAAGTCTTCAAACAATAAATTCTGGAAAGAGTGTGGAGAAAAGGGAAACTCTTGCTAGTTTCTACTTCCATTCTTATACACTGATAAATAAAATAAAGATGTTTCTGATAATGTTTCTAAGTAAAGACACTGTTTAGCTCCTGTTTTCAATCTTTCTCTCATTTGTTGTTATTGTTCAGTCCCTCAGTTGTGTCAGACTCTTTGCGACCCCAAGGACTGCAGCAAGCCAGGCTTCCCTGTCCTTCACCATCTCTCTGAGCTTGCTCAAAATCATGCCCATTGAGTTGGTGATGCCATCAACCATCTCTTCCTCTGTCATCCCCTTCTCCTCCTGCTTTCAATCTTTCCCAGCAACAGGTCTTTTCTAATGAGTTGGCTCTTCATATCAGGTGTCTGAAGTATTGGAGCTTCAGCTTCAGCATCAGTCCTTGCAATGAATATTCAGGATTGATTTCCTTTAGAATTGACTGGTTTGATCTCCTTACGGTCCAAGGGACTCTCAAGAGTGTTCTCCAGCAGCACAGTTCAAAAGCATCAATTCTTCCGTTCTTGAAATTCAGTGCTACTTTGCTTGAAATTCAGTGTTCTCAATTTTTTTTCAGATTTCTAGGATTATAATCCTGATTGTCAGTTGAAAGTCTGTTGTAGTTATCATTTTTTAGTGAACCCCTTTTGTCACACAAAGCAAAAGAGACAATGTGTGTTGAGCTTTACCCAACTGTCTTCTTGAGCCATTCTGAGTGTGCTTGCACATGTCTGTCACTTGAGGACTCAACTTGGGGCTTCTTTCCTCTTCCATTGCTTCTCAGTCTGGAGAAAGCACTATGATTCATGGCAGGGAATTTGACTTATGCTTTCTACTCTGTTGAAGTAAGAAGACCCATCAGTATTGCAGAGTGTGATGCTTAAGTTTGTGTCAACTTGGCTCAGCCAAATATATTTAAATCAAATGTATTTGGTCAAGCGTTGTTTCGGATAGTTTTGTAAGGACTTTTTTAGATGAGATTTAAATCAGTGGAGATTGAGTGAAGAAGATTGCCCTCTGTAATGTGGATGGGTCTCATCCAATCAGTTGAAGGCTTTAATAAAACAAAGACCGACCACTTCCAAGCAAGAGGAAATTCTGGCAGCAGATGGTCTTTGAACTTGAACTGAAATATCAACTCTTACTTCACTTTGGCAGTCTTTGGACTCGAACTGCAACTCTGACCCTTCCCTGAGTCTCCAGTCTGTTGACCTTCCCTGCTGATCTTAGATTACCAGCCTCCATAATCACATGAACCATTCTTCAAAGTAAATCTCATACACATCTTATCAGTTTTGTTTGGAGAACCCTAACTGTTATGGGGAATTATTTCCCTACCAAGAAAACCTTTACTAAAGGGGATAGGAGACAGGAAGAATGCAACATGTATTCTCTGTCTATTTCCTTTGGCTCTTTGGCTGGATGATTCGAAAGCATAGGTGTTTGATAGAGGCTCCTTGGAAACACTGGAAAGAATGAACAGTATGCTTAGCTCTTTCTAAAGACGTAACATTAAACAACTTAGCTTTCTGAAATTTATCTATTTTTATGCTTATTTGTAAGATTTATTCATATTCATTATGCATTTAACTGTATAAAATTTCAAACTACAAAAAACAAAATCTGCATCAATAGAAGTGCTGCTAAATAAAAAGTGATATTTCATAGCATGAAAAAATATGCAGCTTTAAAGTTAAACTGTAATGCTGTCATGGAAAGAGCTATAAGACATTGAGGAACTTATTTGGTCATATGATTGTTCTATCTTTTTGCAGAAACTCCATACTGTTTTCCACAGTGACTGTACCAATTTACATTTTACGAACAGTGCACAGGGGTTCCCATTTCTACACATTCTTGCCAACACCTGTCTCTTGTCTTTTTGTTAATGGCCATTCTAACAGCTATGAGACAGCATTTCATGGTGCTTTTGAAATTTTCCTCTGATGATTAGTGATGTAGAATGTCTTTTCATGTGTCTGTTGGCCATCTGTATATCTTCTTTAGAAAAATGTCTATTCAGCTCCTCTGCTCATGTTTTAATTAAAGTGTCTGTTTCTGTATCTGCAGAATTTTTTAACAGAAAATATATGGTTATTGATAAAAGTCAATTCATTAAACACATTTTAATCTTACTTAGATTTGTTTTAGTCCTTACTCAGGTATTTGCTTTTTCTCATATGTGGTCGTACATCATATGATTCTATGTGTATGAAATATCCAGAATAGGCAAAGCAGTGGACACAGAACAGATGGGGATTTGACAGGGGCTGGATATCCTGGTGGAGAATGAGAAGTAACTTCTTAATGGGTATGAGGTTTCCTCTTGAGGTGATTAAAACCTTTTGGAAATAGAGACAGTGGTTGTATAACATTGTGAATATACTTCATACCACTAAATTGTTTGGTTTAAAAGAGCTAATTTTACATTACAGTAACCCCTGCAAACGAACTATTAAGTTGTGAATTTTCAAAGATGTCAACACACACTGAAGACCTGATAGAACTGGAGGCCTGGAGTAAGGATGAAGAGAGACAACAAGAAGTAACTTAAGAAAAGAAGAGATTCGTGACCCAGAAAATGGCAAGAGGTTTCTTCTTTATTTGAGGAGACACTGTTAGTTTTTAATAATATGGACCCAAATGTAGAATGGGACATGAAGGTTGTAGCAGCCATTCAGAATGAAATCAAGCACTACCAGATCATCTATGATAAGAAAAGAAGAATTACTGCCCAGACAACACTGAACTGTTTTTTTTTGTTTGTTTGTTTTTAAGAGGGAAGAGAGAATTGTGTCCAGCAAGGAACCAGAACTTGTGCCATGAATGTCAGGTGTTAGTGAAGCTGCAGTTTGCCCTCCAGCTCCTATTGCTGATGATCCTCCAGCTTTACCATCTCCCACCTCCTCTCCCCCCTCCAGTCAGTAACTCCTCCTGCCTGTTTTCACTCGATGCCAGCCCCTCTATACACAGGTGTAGTGCTGGCTACAGGATGGGTCTTAGCTTTTGATCTCCCTTTCACTGCTGTAAACATTCTGCCATCTTTGAAGGTTCAGAAGTATTTGCTTTTCTGCTGTCTTATCTGTGTTTTCGGTTTCTCTTTTCATCTAGGTCCTTTATCTGTCTTTTCTGGGTATCTGTTTTATCTTCTAAGTCACGAATTCTCTGATGGGCTCCATCCTTTCCTGGAGAATCTGACAATCGTACTCTCTGCTCTTCCTCAGCATCTGCCGCCGTAACTTTTCCACTGCTGTCCTCAGCTCCTCCTGCTGCTTTTCACTTAATAATTCACCAAATTTAATAACAGTTTCTTGCTGCAGAGCATTGTACAAAGTTGCTTCTAGTTCCTGGATTCTCATATATGCTTGGTCGAGGGCTTGTTTCCTGTAGTCTAGCTCTTCCTCCAGAGAGCCTTTGATTTTGCAGAATTGTGCCATGTCACTTTCCAATTCCTTCATTTTCTGATGCAGGGAAGCCTCTGCTCCTTCAATTTGCTGGATCCACTTTTCTGCCAGGGACAGCACAGTGCTGGCCTGAATTATAGCCACTTGCTCTTCATTTCTTAAATTCCCATTATCACCTAAGATATTAAGCTGCTTTATGAGATCAGGTATATTCACATCCTTGACACCTTCTTTCATATAGTAGATCTGGAGAGCACTGACACCATCTGAGAATGGGTGAATTTGCAGATTAAATGGAGGGGGTCGTCTCTCTCTTTCTTTTAGTTCTAGGTTTCAAAACTCCAGCAGCTCATTATGGTCTCTGGCATCCTGTAGGTCCTGTTGGAGCCGGTGATTTTCTGCCTCTTGTTTTTCTATCTTTTCTAAAAGCTCCTTGTTTCTCTTAATGAAAAGTTGTTTATCTTCTACCCAGTGTGAATCCTGCCCTTTCTGAGCCAGAGTCGCTTCCAGATCTTTCATTTTGGCTTTATACCTTAGCACCTCGGCCTGAAGTTGTTCTTGAGCCTTGGCTTCTCTTTCAGCATCAGTGATGCCTGCAATCTGCTCCTGCAGGAGGGCGAATGCTCTTTGGAGAGCCTGGTATTCTTTAGTTAATTGTCGTAATCTTAGTTCTGATTCTTCAGCTGCCAAACTCTCATCCAAGTCATGTTGCTCAGCGCCTCGTCCACCTGCTTCTTGGCCATTTTCAGGTCCGCAATCTCCTGTAAGAGCTTAAGGCGCTCGGCACTGAACAGTTTCACGGGCCTCGATGGTGAGCGCTGTCCTTACTTCGTTGCTGCTGCCGTTCCGGAGTGCGCACAGCACCGACTTGAGCCTCTGGATCTCGCCGTCCCGCACCTTCACTGTCCGGGCCGTCTCCTGCTCGTGCTGCTTGATGAGGTTCTCCCGCACGGCCTGCAGCTCCTTCATCTGCTCCTAGTGGAGCTTGGCTTTGAGCTCCGTCACCAGGACCGTGTGCTTGCGCCGCTCCAGCTCGCGGATCCTCTTGGCTTCTTGAGTCGTCTCTCGTTCGAGTTTAGATACCTTGGACTTCTCCTGATGCAGCTCTATCTGGGTGTCTGTGCGCTTGGTCCTGAGGTCTTCGTTGGCAGCTTGAAGGGCGACAATGAGCGCCTCGGGCTTCTCGCCCTATTCCGCCCCTTCTTGGACATTATTCCTTTCTGAATGGAGTCTGTTGGTGTTGAATTCCTCTCAAGCAGGGGCTGCCATGTTCCTGCGGCTTCTCCTGGGTGCGACAGCTCAGCAGCTACTGCGTGTTGCCCCTCGGGAAGGTCTCCTCAGCCACTGCCCTGGAAGCCCATGCTGAGAGCCGGAGAAACTGTTGAAAGGAAGGAGAGATGCAAACTGAATCCGTTTTCCTTGTGACCGAGTCGGATGCAGCCTCCGAACCCAACATCAGCAGCGGCTGCCGGGATTTCTTCCCCTCCCTCTCTGGTTGGCGACGGTGCTAATAGGAACCACCCTTCCAGCCTTCCCTGGAGTATCAGCAGTCCAAGCGGCAGAAGCAGCAGCATCACCACTTGGCCTCCTCCCTCTCGGAGGATGGGGTGAGCTCTGCAAGGAGATTTCATAGACTTAATTACCGGACCAGACTCCAGCTGTGAGACCTTGACTTCACATTTTTAAAATAATGGAACTTTTAGAAATGAACAATCTATTAACTTTTTAATAAATCAAATAAATAGCTGATTAAACTGAAGAGGTAATTAAAGTACTGTAAATCAAAGCTGAGGATAATAAAGAGATTTTAAAAATGTCAGACACTTGAAAGACTTGGAAGATAGAATGAGAAGATGCCAGAAAACATTTAATAAGAATTACATAAGAAATAAGTGAAATAAAAAGAGAGGCAATGTTTGAGGTGGTTGTTATTTATTTGTTAAGTCATGTCCAACTCTTTTGAGACCCCATGGACTGTGGGCTACAGATCCTCTGTCCATGGGATTTCCCAGGCAAGCATACTAGAGTAGGTTGTAATTTCCTTCTCTAGGAGATCTTCCTGACCCAGGGATCGCGTTTGCCTCTCCTGCATTTTCAGGCAGATTCTTTACTGTTGAACTACCAGGGAAGCCCAGTATTTGAGGTGTCAATGGCAAATAATTTTCCAGAATTCTCATTATTGGCTAATGAAAATATAAATTGCTACAACGTCTTTTAAGAAAAATTTGTTGATATCTAATAAAGTTTAAGAATGTGCATATTCTATAAACTTGTAGTTTTCTACTGGAAAGAAATTCTCAGAATAAGCACCTGTCCAGTAATGTACTTTGCAGCTTTGTTTGTGACAGAGCAATGATAGAACCGCATTGGCTGAGTCTTCCACAGGGGAAATCTCCTGATGTACTCTGCTCTCACACATGATGCATTTCATCATGGGGGACAGAGTACAACTCAAAAATTAAACATTATGCTAATTAATATAACTGAGAGAAAAACCTCATTAATAGAGTCAAGAATAAAGTATATGAATAATACATAAGTCCATCAAAGAATTTATTAATTTTATAAAGACCTGCTGAAACGTGCTCAGAATAAAGCTATTAATAATAAGTACGATTCAGAAGTGTGTACCATTCTGATCCTGGTTCAAAATCAGTTACATAGTTACATTATGCACAATTCTGATGGGTCTGATTATTTGAGTAGTTCACAAACTATAAATGGTAGACTAGAAGTAAGGGATGAAAACATTCCTAGGGTGGAACACAAGACTACACAGCAGGAATGACAGCTGGGGAAAGAGAACAACGTAAAGTCAAGGTATCTAACAAAAAGCTTGTCATTTTGAATCCCTTCCTTTGGAGGTGTATTGTATTCCGTTCAGTTCAGTCCCTCAGTCATGTCCAATTCTTTGTGACCCCATGAATCACAGCACGCCAGGCCTCCCTGTCCATCACCAACTGCCAGAGTCTACCCAAACCCATGTCCACTGAGTTGGTGATGCCATCTAACCATCTCATCCAATGTCATCCCCTTCTCCTCCTGCCCTCAATCTTTCCCAGCATCAGGGTCTTTTCAAATGAGTCAGCTCTTTGAATTAGGTGGCCAAAGTATTGGAGTTTTAGCTTCAACATCAGTCCTTCCAATGAACACCCAGAACTGATCTCCTTTAGGATGGACTGGTTGGATCTCCTTGCCATCCAAGGGACTCTCAAGAATCTTCTACAACACCACAGTTTAAAAGCATCAGTTCTTCGGCACTCAGCTTTCTTTATTGTCCAACTCTCACATCCATACATGACCACTGGAAAAACCATAGCTTTGACTAGATGGACCATTGTTGGCAAAGCAATGTCTCTGCTTTTTAATATGCTATCTAGGTTGGTCATAACCTTCCTTCCAAGGAGTAAGCCTCTTTTAATTTCATGGCTGCAATCACCATCTGCAGTGATTTTGGAGCCCAGAAAAATAGCCACTGTTTCCACTGTTTCCCCATCTGTTTGCCATGCAGTGATGGGACCGGATGCCATGATCTTAGTTTTCTGAATGTTTAGCTTTAAGCCAACTTTGTCACTCTCCTCTTTCACTTTCATCAAGAGGCTCTTTAGTTCTTCTTCACTTTCTGCCGTAAGAGTGGTGTCATCTGCATATCTGAGGTTATTGGTATTTCTCCCGGCAATCTTGTTTCCAGCTTGTGCTTCATCCAGCCCAGCATTTCTCAAGATGCACTCTGCATAGAAGTTAAATAAGCAGGGTGACAATATACAGCCTTGACGTACTCCTTTTCCTATTTGGAACCAGTCTGTTGTTCCATGACCAGTTCTAACTGTTGCTTCCTGACCTGCATACAGGTTTCTCAAGAGGCAGGTCAAGTGGTCTGGTATTCCTGTCTCTTGAAGAATTTTCCACACTTTATTGTGATCCACACAGTCAAAGGTTTTGGCATAGTCGATAAAGCAGAAATAGATGTTTTTCTGAAACTCTCTTGCTTTTTCAATGATCCAGTGGATGTTGGCAATTTGATCTCTGGTTCCTCTGCCTTTTCTAAAACCAGCTTGAACATCTGGAAGTTCTAGGTTCACATATTGCTGAAGCTTGGCTTGGAGAATTTTGAGCATTACTTTACTCATGTGTGAGATGAGTGCAATTGTGCAGTAGTTTGAGCATTCTTTGGCATTGCCTTTCTTTGAGATTGAAATGAAAATGGAACTTTCCAGTCCTGTGGCACTGCTGAGTTTTCCAAATTTGCTTGCATATTGAGTGCAGCACTTTCACAGCATCATCTTTCAGGATTTGAAATAGCTCAACTGGAATTCCATCACCTCCGGTAGCTTTGTTCGTAGTGATGCTTCCTAAGGCCCGCTTGACTTCACATTTCAGGATGTCTGACTCTAGGTGAGTGTGAGTGATAACACCATCATGATTATCTGGGTCATGAAGATCTTTTTTGTACAGTTCTTCTGTGTATTCATGCCACCTCTTCTTAATATCTTCTGCTTCTCTTAGGTCCATACCATTTCTGTCCTTTATTGACCCCTTCTTTGCATGAAATGTTTCCTTGGTATCTCTAATTTTCTTGAAGAGATCTCTAGTCTTTCCCACTCTATTGTTTGGATTGTTCTATTTCTTTGCATTGATCACTGAGGAAGGCTTTCTTATCTCTCCTTGCTATTCTTTGGAACTCTGCATTCAAATGGGTATGTCTTTCCTTTTCGCCTTTGCTTTTCACTTCCTCCTCAGACAGCCATTTTGCTTTTTTGCATTTCTTTTTCTTGGGGATGGTCTTGATCCCTGTCTCCTGTACAATGTCATGAACCTCTGTCAATCCAAATGCCGTTTGCAGCAATATGGATGGAACTAGAGATTGTCATATTAAGTAAAGTAAATCAGGCAAAGAAAGACAAATATCACATGATATTTCTTGTATGTGGAATCTAAAAAATGATACAGATGAAGTTATTTATAAAAGAGAAACATACAAACTTAGAGAACAAACTTATGATTACCAGGGGGAAGAGTGGAGGGAGAGGAGGGAGATAGATTGGGTATTTAGGATTGACATATATATTTCCTTGGTGGTACAAGTGATAAAAAATCTGCCTGCCATATGAGAGACTTAAAAAGACTCTGGTTTGATCCCTGGGTCAGGAAGATTCCCTGGAGGAGGGTACGGCAACCCACTCCAGTATTCTTGCCTGGAGAATCCCTCAGACAGAGGAGCCTGGCAGGTTACAGTCTGTAGGCTGTATATATAGGGAGGATGGAGATGGACATTTCAACCAAGATGTATTCAGTATGGTGCTGGTTCTGGTTTGGAATGCAGGTAGATACGGCCACTCTAAGGATGGTCACTTCCAGGCAGGCCATTCTGCCTCGCTTGGAGGACCTACTGTACCACATCTTCCCACTGGACAACTGATAATCTTCTGAGTCCAGGCAGGAACCCCTGGTGCAGACAGACGTACTCCAGCCATTCTCCTTTTCATCAGTTCTGTGTGTTCTGGATCCCGGGTTCATGGGAACAGAACTGTGTTTGCTCCATGCTGTAGCTCACTCCTCACCTTCATCTTTGTTTTCTAATGGTGGGTCTGGCAAATGAAGCCCCAGGGCTGGCAGAGGCAGAGAAAACAGTTCAGGGCCAGTCCTTCAGGGACTCCAGCTCCATCTGCTCAGGAACAGTGCCTCCTCCATCACACATGGATCTGATCCTGGATATCAGCAACCACTGGTGCTGGCTCTGCCTCCTTCTGTTCAGGATCTTGGTTCAGGAGTAGCCAGCTGGTCTTGCTCGTTTCCTCTTGTTCTTCCTCTGGCTCCTCACTGCTCCAATCCCCAGTGCCTTCTGTAGGGCCCTGGTGTAGCCTGGGTTCCTCAGTCTGATTTCAGGTATCTCCCCCCTAGAAGCAGAACTACTGCTGCCAATGGGCAGGTGCCACTCAGAGCTGAAGGTTGGCTCCCAGGCCCACCCT